GGCAGTGAATCATTTGTCACGTTTCAAACTCGAAAATTACGCGAAAAGCTGTTGGAGCCTGTGAGTAGCTTTCCTGAGGAACACGTAGTCGAACGTGTTCGTAACGCGATCCCGTGGAATCCGGTGTTTCCTGGCTTGAGAATTTTCGGATCTTCGAATTTCCGAATAATTCCTGCTTAGCGGAAATTCGCAAGCTTATCTTCACGGAATACGAAATGTCACAAATATGCATGAAATCCTTTTCTTTGCGATCTTCAAGTTTTTGTTGAAATTTCCGAGAGTTATTTCACGCGACCTCGAAGAATTGCAATTATAACAGGGCCTCAGTTTATTAGTGAAATTTCACACGTTACAAATTACAAGTTATTATTAGCGAGTAACTTTGCATACTTTCCGATAACAAGTTTGATAATCAAACGTGAAATTTTGCAAGTAAGTTTCACAAATTGTCAATTAACTAATTATTCTATTAGAGGGATATTTCAAGAAGAAAAATCTATACTAACTTGTAACTTATAACTTACCAATTTACTAATATTACTAGTTAGTAAATTATTATACATAGAAACACTGAAGCCCAGAAAAATACACAAGCATATTATAAAACCTGCATTCTATGCGTCAACTGATTGAAACGATATGTGTCTTCACAACTGCCTGCTTCCATGCGATTTTTACCAAACGTACATAAATTGCTCGATTTTCTAATCATTTTCTAATCACGTTGCTTACTTAATCCACTAGATATATTATGCATTTGTCAATCTTTCTCCTTTACTATGGTCAAAATAATTCGCATTAGACGAAGAGGAACAAGAAAAACCCTCGGAGGCTCATCAAGTATTATCGTAATGTTTACTTTCCCAGAAAAATATTCGTCGTGTGTTTACCGGTGAGAAGAAACCCGTAACATGATAATGCATTTGGCACGGATCAGAGAAAACAGACAAGTGCACGAGAGAACAAGAGAGAGAGAGAGAGAGGGGGGGGGGAGATAGAGAGCTACGGAATTTTAATTATGTACGAAAAAAGTTGCCAAGTAAAAAGCCTTTTTTCATTAAGATTACACTCGACCAGGTACTCGTGCTCCCTAAACAAAATGATCGTTTTCCTGTTATGTTCTTAACACGAGAGAGAAAGAGAGCGAGACGAAATATTATACAAAGAATGAGAGAATGAACGAAGCAGGCGGTGAACGAAGAGGAAAGGAAGAGAAAGGGAGGCACAGCAGCCTCGAGTGAAGAAAGGTGGCGGAGAATGTACGCGTAAAAAAACAGAGGGAAAGTAGCTTGGCATTTCAAAGATGAGAGACCACTTTGCGCTTAGAAGGAACTGCTTTACTTTCACAGCTTAGTAAATGCGCGAAGGTGTGCTCGAAGGAAGAACAGGCTTCCGGGGCAAGGAGGAGGGAAAATAGAAAAGCCGAATGAATGGGGAAAAATAAGGAAGAATGGTTTGGAATAGAAAAGGCGAGGAAATACGACAGAAATGGTTCTCTACTGACCGAAAGCCTAAAGCGACGATTCAACACTTTACCCGCCTATTGGATTTATGGGGACAGCGTGGCGCTCGTGTGGGCCGTTTGACCGCGAAATTGCGTAATTAAATTAGAGCCGCCTCATATAATTCGATAATTAACATTCCAAAATGGGTCGGCGATAGCTCGCGAGCTGGCGAACCACTGGAAAAATAGAACGTGGCTGTAAGTTAAAATTGTTTAAAGGACCGTTCGTATCGGACAGTTTATGGTCGATCTATATCGATCGGATCGGAGTAATTGACTATGTCGCCGACGATGGATTGCTCTCAGGAAATATGTATTGCTCAGAAGCCATATTGATGAACGAACTCTATAAATTGATGATATATTTTTTACAGTTTATTTCTGTATTCATAATTGTTGATTTTATATGGTATAATAAATTTATTTGGTGAATTATTGCTTTGAAAAGTTGAATTGAATGGGAAATATTCATAGAGCGTACATAACATATTCAGTAGGTAAAATAATTCCCTACCTAAGTTTCAGTTTTCAAATTATACTCCTAAGAATTTGAAGTCCATTAATCTCGTACTCAGGTAATAAAATTGCGAAATTTCCGAAATTAGATTGACTTCTAAGAAACTCGTCTATTATAAAACTTGAATGCTTTCGAGACTTCGAACTCGCTGAGACGAAATTAATTTTCAAACTTAAAATTTGATATAAAAATAAGGACAAAATTGGCGAGGGAAAAAGCTATTCGATTTTAGAGCAATGGTCGAAGACAAATTATTATTGTCGTAGGAAGTGTATTTCGAAAAGAACTCCGTATGGATGGTCTTCACGACACATGCCATTTCTGTGAGGGGCGCGACGTTCAAGGAACAAGTTAGTCCTACGAGCTCTTTTCTCCGACGTGTCACAGTGGGAAGAGATAAACTCGACTGGTTGGAAAAGCTGAAAAGCACTAGAGAGACTGTTTCACGCTGCTCGCAACTGTTGGAAGATGAGATTTCAGGCTTTGAAACTAAGATTTCGACTTTCTTTCCTTTCGAGTGCTTTTCCTACACTAGTCGATGAAATTTGACGTTCTTTTTTTGACGAAGAGACACACGGTCATCACTCGAGACTGGTGTACTTCTTGCGTAAAATCATTGCGTCGAATCATTAGAATTCGAACGATTGTTTCACAGTCTATATAGTAAGAAAGATATAAGAGAAGAAGAGAACTTTTGCGATGAAGTTACTGGACGAAAGTCGAAACAGTAGATCGAGTCGCTTACTCATCAGACTAGGCCTGAAGAAATGAAATATTGACGTGCTTTGAATATAAGAATTAGATCAGATAAGAGTATCTTCACATTTTGAATTTGAATTTCAACCGAAAAATTTGATCTTCGACTTGAATATGAAAAGTTGAATTTAAAGGTAGGAAGTGAGACTTGAAGGTTTGAATTTATATTGGAAGATTTGAAATTAAATGTAAACTAGGAAATTTCAACTTGAGCTTGAGCTTGAAGTTGAAGAAATTTCAGTTGAAATATGTAAATGTTAATTTTATTTTGGAAATTTGAATCTGAATCTGCAGATGTTAATTTTATTTCGAAAATTTGAATTTGAACTTTTAACTTATCATTTTAAAATACCGTCTTCTTGCTATTTAGTCGAGACGCAGAAGGGAAAACTTGTTAGGAAGCTGTAGTTACTGAAAATAACGTGAACAATGGTTGAAACGAAGAAGCGTTCCATGCTGCTTTTGTTTGCTACCTCTTTAAGCGTTGGAGTATTTCAAAGCTTTTTAACCTCTTGATAACAGTCTTTTTAATAATCAAGTAGTATTAAAGATGCAAAATACGCACAAGCTATAACAACCCAGAGCAAAACAGTGTGCTTTTTCACAATGATTAACGTTTATGAAAAGGATTTAATGTCAAATCACCAGCGCACTAACGATCTTCGATTAATTAAAAAAAAGAGAAAATACGATGAATATATTATTCTCTTCATATTTAATTCTGTTAAATACTTCTCATACATTATACGTTATAATTAAAACTATGAATTAAGAGTATCTTAAATTAATTAAATATTGCGAAGGCTAAGCAAAATTGTGATACAGAAACAATACACGGAATTATTGCAATGTGTACGTCGAAGTGACCATAAAATTCCATTCGACAATCGAAAAACGAATGAAAGATAAACGCGTCCAGGCGAACGGGCATCGATGAGCAAGCTATAAAACAAAGCCTTAGTCAATTGTCAGGACCGATGGTTATATCCTGAACTGGAAGGAATCGAGCAAAAATAGAGCGGACGAATAAAAAAGAAAAAAAAAAGGAAGGAGAACAGATAACAAAAATATCAAATCGAATATGTTTCGAGCGAGACCCATTTTACTTGCCCGGTCAGATAAATTCTTTGGTTACCTTTTTCCCTTGACAGCCGATTTTTTTTCATCGAAAAATCGTGGACGAATACACAGGATGTTGCATGGCTACCCTTCGAACGTTCAAAATAGAAAGGCGACTGATATTAATGTCTCTTAAAGGGATACGCGTAAAGGAAAGAAAAAAAGAAAAATAAAGAATAACGAGATCCGATGGAACCAGCGGAAAAGCTATGCTGATAGAATATTAGTAGAATGGCGGAATAGCTGTAGCAGCAGTGCGGTGAAATGAAACGAATTGGAGGAACGAGAGAAGTAGTATTAGTGGAAGCTGAGCTAGTCGTACATTTTCGAGGTGGATACCATTTTAATTACAACCACCGTCCATAAGTCGATCCGTATGAGAGACAACATTTTCTCGGTTTAATTAAGCGGTCGGCGTTCCTCTTTGCTGAGGTCTCTTTCGCAAAACGAGTGACGTTCTGGTTGGACATCGATTTATCAAATTATCCTTTAAAGGAAGATGGTTTTTCGTCATAACCGGGGAATTAATCAAACGTATTTAATAATTTCCCTTGGCTTTATGTGCCAGAATTGAATAAATATGGGTGTATTATGTTAAAAAGTTGTCGATAACTTGTCGACGAAATTTCACGAAATTCCAAATTACACCGTAGTGTAAATATGCAAAGCAAGTTAACCTTTCGATTTTCAGAGATGCAGCTCAGTTATTTGGTTTGCGTTTATTAGCGGACCGAAATTTTCCCACTGACGAAATGACCCTTTTTGGTCATGTTCACGGCATTTCCTAACTTTCCTTCATTTAGACCCGATTTAAAATTCACGTTGCTTATTTCATCCCGTGAACAATCATCTGATTTTTTGAAATTTTGATTTCGACGTTAAAAAAGTGATAGCCCCGTAAAATGTCCGATCAGGTACGCAATAGATTTTCCTGAAACCTACGTGGTCAATTTTCAACGTTCGAAAATTCGAGCAGAATCTGGCTCCATCGTTTCACTCGGTTGACGATCAAATAAGAATTGATCAAAGTTTGATCGACGAAAACGGAAAGACGTGACTTCGAGAGAGAGAAATTACCGAAATGGAGGAAAATTGTGAACTTACCAATTAAATTCTGGAACGCGATGTGTGTCTGGCAAAACGTCGACGCCATCTGGCTTCATACTTTACTTCCATCTGGCAGGTTGCTGCTTGAAGGATGTCGATAGAATCATGCGATAGGTCATCTAATTGTTTTCCTCGGCAACTTCCAGAAAGGGTATTTTGTCGTGACAAACGACGTTCCTCTCTATCATCCAGTCGGATATTTCTACGGCAAAAAACAACGTTGATCGTGAGCAGAGAAAAGTAACCTTTGTTTCGTTCTTCTCCACTTTTCTTTTTTTGTTTCATAGAAGAAACTTTTTATTTTCAGACAGTTGGGCAGCATCGTAAAATTCGAAGTGAGAGCATTCTTTATTTTCAATGGCTGCTGAGGGAAACGTAGTTTCAAGAGAAGAGCTCGCAATTAGAAAGTTTTTGAAAACAGAATGGAACGGAGACAGAACAATTAAGACAGGAGAATTAGAATTAAAAATTTCAAACTTTCAGCTGCGAGAATTCGAGTTTCAAAAACAAAAACGAAAGAACAGAAACGTAAGAGAAATATCCTCTTTTCCTCTTATTTCATCAACTTCTTGGTTTGATCAACGGAAAAATTTTCATCGTAATTTTAGTGAAAACGGTACAATTATAATCATGTTATATTAGATTTTTAGACTAAAAAGCATTATGTGACGAATAACAGGGAGTTTAAAATTAGTTCTTGCCTACGTGAATGTTAGAAATTCTTCGATTATATAGTTAACGATTATATTCTCAACTATATTATTGTACAATATAGTACAATGTATTATATCACAGCAGAGAACTACAGATTGATATAATTGAAATCCATTGATTCTGCCCACTACCTATGATTTTTCATTCATATAATAATACACGTTCAAATAATTGGATTCAATCAACGCAGATTCGTTGAATCGGACATTTGGATGAAATAAATGGATTTCATATAAACGAATTTCTACCTGATCATGTCAAATGCAATCTTGCTTCGTAAAATTACGGTGTTGTTTCATATCCATTACCTATTCAAATTTTCCTTATCGGGCACTATATATGAGTTACTCAGGAACTACATTGATTAACTTCATAAGTTAAAAAATTCTTAGAGAAGTTCAATATTAATTAATACTTAGACAGTGAAATTGAGAAATTTCGAAAAGTCGAGTTGATGAATTTTACTTCTGAAAGGCTGGTATTTTAAGAAGGTTACAAACATCGCAACAACGCAATTCTCAATCAGTTAATAATTCATCAATTCATTTCCTTTACATTTGCCAGTACACGAGAAACTAGTATTATTCTGTTATTTACGAAGGTAGATATCTTTACCACGGTCACCTTTCCCACTGCAAGGAGCAGAGATTAAATTACTTTGGGCTGGTCGAATTAAAACGCTAATAACCAACGTCCGATATTTATTGGACAGCTTTAGCAGAGTTAAAGTCGAAATCCGTGCGCTGTTCTACCTTCCAGCGTTCTTCTCTATCCGATTCTAAACCTCGTCAGTGCCTCCCTTTCCCTCGTTACGCCTGCACCTTTCACCCTTTCCACAAAAGCGTCCGAAACTTTTACGAACCCTCGAGAGTCTGGTAGCGCCACCATTGTTTCCCAAACAGGGGTTGTTACCACTTTTATGAGAGAGATTTCGAGCTTGGCCGGGTAGATAACTTTGCTACGCTCGTCGCTTAATCGGCCGCCTCTAACCCTTTTTCGCCACACAGTTTCAACCCCTATTCGTTCGTGGCCGACCCAGTACTCTTCCCCTCTTTCGGAATCAAGTGATTTCGGGATCAACTATAACGACCCATTTCGGGTTTCAACCTGGACTGTTTACGAGCCATGATTTCTTCTCTATTTTTACCCTGCTCAAAACGAGGATATGGAAATTCCATGGAAAATCGTGCATCCCTTTCTACTCGCCAGACAGCCGGTAATTTTCGACCGGGCAGAATCTGCTGACGCGAATTTCTAAACCTGACGAGCGTCATAACTCGTCCTATAATGCCGCTCTTTAATCGTAGCCACCACCCTGCGTTGCTTTATGTGACCCGTGTCAGTGATAACGTCGAATATATAGCGCCTATTAAGCCGGATATTTTTCAATGAAACTGTCACAATGGTCTCTATCTATTAGAACGGTTGTATCTTTTTCTGTTTGACTGATATCCCAGCCGAATCGAGCGAGAGAACGATCGTAGGAAGTTAAGGAAGATAGTTCTTGCTACTTGGAATTATCTACACTGGTCATTGTAACTTTCAACTCTGTATCGATCGCAATACACGTACTTTTGCACTTTTATATTTTTATGACTTCGAGAAGGGACGTGACTTCGCTGTCGTATGTGTTTATTAAATATTCATAGTTCAATAAATGATCGTAAAAAATTGTCCTTCCCTTCTACTCTAAATATTCTACCTTTTACAACTTTCAATTCTATATCAATCGTGACACACGCTTTCTATGCAGTTTTGTAATTTCTCCGAACACCGAATCATTTCGTTTGTAAACTATATCGTAATGAATACTCTTCGACAACTCGATTCCAATAAATACTTAACATCAGTTCGAATGAATCAGCTTGAGAGAAGAGAAAGGCACGAAAACAAGAAAAATCATTGCACATAATAAAACGAACGAAAGAAAATGCATCAGAGAAAGTAGACACATACTGATTGTAGCGATGATGAAAAAGAAAAAAAGTATATCTACAATTAGCACGTTAATAGTATATATTCATCTGCACGCCGATACCATTTTAGACGATGATACAATATCGGTTTTTTCGTATATATCGAATCGAATAGCGGTAGTGTGGCGAAACGAGGCTCGTTTTTTTTAGGAGAGGCTGGTTTTAGGGAATGGCCAGAGAGGTTGGGAGCTAGTTTTATCTAAGCGTATCAACGACCGAATGTGGGCCAGGTCCGGCGTTCCTGTCCGGGCTAAAAACGCCTATACGCGACTGCCGCTATCGAACAGTTCTCATCCCCGATTAACTTTAACGCCGCACCGGCGGCGAATGTATAAAAATTTCATCGAACGGCATCGGTTACCGCTTCAGGACTAACGTGCACGTAATGAAAGCGCTACACATGCCGCGAAAAATAACGATCCACTCAGCTTCTATCCTTTCTCCCCTCTATATTTCTGTTTTTGTTTCTTTTTTTATCTTTTTTCTTTCGCCACTCGTCGACCCGACGAAAGTATCAGAGGAACGAAAATGAACTGCGTTCAAATCGAGCCACTGCCGCGGCTCTACGTTTCCGAATATTTCGGTAATTGATATTTGAAATTGAACCGCGTGGACGTTTGTTTTTTTTTGCCTGGCGTTTCCTGGTCGCGGAAAGCAGAGGGAGCCGTTCCTATGTTTTTTAGACATGTACGAATCTCTGCGATCGACGGTTTGGATTAGCTTCTTTTCCATGTTTTATAATTGATCCAACTGTACGGTCTTTCTCCACTCTTTTTACCCATGGAATATCGTTATCGATCGAAAAACTGCTTTGAAGATTAATCATTGTGTAGAAAGTTTCTGGTTCCCGCGGTATTCTCATTGGATAGCGCTCTTTCGTTTGCGGAAGTGAGGTTTTCAGTACTCTGTCGAACTCTCTAAAAGCCGAGAATATTTTACAACAGCCCCGACCTCGACTATTCTCCGGGCTAATTAGTTCGTTTAAAGGAATCAGCTTTATCGAGGTTGATTAAAAGAGTGCTCGAATAGAACACAGAAGACGAGAGCGACGATGGAAAAAGGAGAGGACGAAAAAGGTTGGACAGAATTCACCTCATAATCTTCGTAGCCAAGCGTCCTCTTCGTTCCCCTTTTACCATCGGTCTCTCTGGCGAAGCGCTCTCCTCGATAAATCACGTGCTCCAACGACGTGTAAACAAGGCTGACTTAATAAATCTAATTATCTGCGGGAAGAGGCGAGAAAGCGTTTCCACCGAAGGAAAAATAATTTCTCGCGGAAGAATTTTTCGGTTCGGATATCGGCGTCGCCTCCCGTGTTCGATCGACTTTAAAACTGTCCGTAAGGGAATATTTATTAGTTTGAAGAGAGATTCCTCGGGTAAATGTCGAACGTTCTAGCATACAAATTTTATGGAAATTCCCTGGGGCATCGTACCATGCTTCCGTTCAAGCGATTTCTATAAATTTCGCCGGTGCATTGAAATAAACGTTCCAACATACAATATTTCTTCCTCTTCGTCTTTAATAATGTTCGTAGTAACGTCTAAATGTTTCGAAACAAGGGTTCCTCATTTGCTAAGCTATTTAGTATATTTCATACTAAATCTTCTTAGAATCTTCGTTTCACCCATATCCATTTTTCTCTCGCTTACCTTTTCTTCTTTTTCTTTGGTTCATCATCCCTCTTTAAAATCTCCCTTTCTTACAGCAGTTTCTGATTAGGGACTTCATATTGTATTTCATCAAGTTTCAACAGGGGATTCAAAGGACCAATTGCGACTAACTCTAATCCAATCGTGTTTTACCGTCTTTTTATCAAACTAGAACCGTCACGAAATAAATCTCACGTCTTTCTTCTCCTTAAATTTTCTCTCTCTTCTTTCTTTTCGCTTGCCATCCTTCTTTTTCTACGCTTTCCCCATCGATTATACATGCAATACATTCGACAATGCATTGCGTACGTATTGGGAAGACATTGATGTTATTAAACGGTGCCCACACAGGTGTCACATATAGCGCTTATAAATTTTAGTGCCCACTTTACACGTGTTTCATATATATTTTGCACACGTTTCATTTATATTTCATATTCAAAAATAATGTATTAATAGAGATCATAGTAGACTCATTAAATCATTTATATTTCATATTCGAAAATAATATATTAATAGAGATCATAGTAGACTGGTTAAATTTATTAAATTTAACGCGTTAATTTAGTGATTCTAAAATGTCTTTCATCGTATAGCTGGTGATCCGTATATTAGTTTAATACTCTAATTAACTTTCGCTTTATTAAATTCGATTATCTCTCGTGTTCAAATGTGTACAATTATTTCAATTATTTTTACCTTATCCTCATTGATATTAAATTAAATTAAATTTCTTAAAATGCCTCTCATCGGATTTTTAGCATCTCGTACATTAGTTCTATCATTAGCCAGGTTTCGTTTCGTCAAATTTAATCATCCCGTTCATATTCGTATAAATGTAGGAATGTTATATTATTAAT